AACACTTGCTTTTTTTTCATTTTTAGAAGTATGACCAAAAATTCATTTTGACACAATTTCCTTCCTGTACATATTTCTATGTTGTTCAAGAAAGAAAAAATTTTGCATTTCAATACATTGCCATTTTCTCTTATTGATTTTATGAACATTTCAATTGAGAATACTTCGTTCGACATGATAAGATGATTGCTAATGATGAAGTTTAGTTGAAGAAATCAGTTTAATCTAGACTTCAATAAACATTTCCAAGTTCCTTCTTATTTTTTGGGAATGATCAAGTATGATGTGAAATAACTGAAATGAGCCATTTAGTGGAGTTCTAATGAAAGTTAGACGCTCCATGTTAGATATATTGTTGGCATCACTTTTCGATGTCATTTGAGTGGGATGTCCACTTGAGCGCAACGGGACAATGCTTCACGGATATATTTTTTCTCCGTAGCTCCAGATATTTGTTAGGGCTTCCCAAGGCACGCTTTCAAGCTCAGTAAGACAAGTGTTCACTTCTATGAGGTGCCCCATGACTTGCAATCACTAGATCACATCAAATACCCCAAAGAAAATTATTTTGCCAGGGGCGCGCTCAGTGCCTTTAGTCCTATGGCGTACCCCCCTAGAGTCTAGACTCATGCTAGACCCGTGATGGCTCTACACTGGCATACAAGGAGTTGGGAGAACCGGCAACGTGCTTTGGATGCACTTGCGCCTTTGCTCTTCTAGCGCGCTTGTGTTAAACCCGTGCTATCGAATAGGGAGTTGTGAGAACCCGTGTCGTGCTTTGGGCGCCCCTGCATCGGGTCTTAGGGCTTGCCCGTGCCGCACATATGCCACACTATGCCGGGAGATAGTAGGGCGCCCCCGCACCACGACCAGGTACACCCACTCTAACATCGGCGCACCGGTGTCGTGACCGCGGCAAATCCAAACCAGATCAAATTCTGCTCCGATCTTGCTGCCCGGAATTTTCGCATTGAGGGACCCTGGTCCCTTAAATAACGCTAATAGGCATGTAAACATGGGATTAAAGGGTTATTATATGGGTATTATGCCTAAAATATCATTAAGCAATGGACGATTGGGTCCTAGGGTGAATATATGCCCAAAAATGGCATAGGGGGAAACCTTAAACCAAAAACCATTAGAGAAAATTAGGAGAGGCCATTCAATCCAAATTAGGGGAGCGGGGGAGAAGCTTTTGGCTGGTTGCGGAGCGCACTAGGAGAAGGAGAAAGCCTCGCTTCCTTCCCCTCTTCTTTCTCAACATCTTCTTCTCGATTCTTCTTCCTCCTCCTCATATCCTTCTCCTTTCTCCATTAATTTGCTGAGGGCAGAGTGAGGGAACTCTTTTGGAGGAGCCTCTTGGAGGAAAAGCTTCATATCTACTTTGGAAGAGGACAATTTCATCTTCACTTTGGAGAAGGAGAAAGCTAGCTTCGTCGGCACGTGAAAGTAGCAAGGATCAAGCAAAGAGAACTCACGATACATCTTCTTGCTATTTCCTTTCTAGAAAGCCCTATAGGTCTGGATGAAAGAGAAATTAGGGCTATGATTCTGTGTTAGAGGATGTTGCATGGTTAGGACTCTGTTTTCGTGGACTTCCCTCACGAATCCAAGAGATTTTCCCCCTAAACCTAACACATTATTCTAATAGGTCGAAAACCTGGTAACCCATTATTATTCGGCTACATCATCCCTCGGTAAATGGGTTTATGCCACCGCAATCTAGAGAAAGAGGAAATTCCTTTCATCCTCATTTTTGCATTTGTTTTCCTGTTATGGGACTATGTCTTGCTAAAATGTATGTTCTCATGATGCAAGGTACCGATAAAAACACTTTCGCACGTGATTCAGGCTCAAATTGGCTCGAGCATCGATGAAGTTGTCTCAATAACATTAGATGATGAAATGAATCGCATGAACGTATCTGAAACATCAAGTTTACATAAGAATGACACTCATATTATTATGGTTTCATGCACGAGTGGATGCACACAAATCAATACATATAACTTTAAATTAAAGAAAAGGGACTTAAAAAATAAATAATATGGGACGACGGAGCATACCTCTTCATAACGTTGTCCCTTCTTGATGGAGGGTCAGGGCCCTCCCCCAAAAATGGTTGGGATTATCCCGGCTACCCGGACCTCATTGGCTCAGAAAGGTCCGTTTGAGGGTTCTCCTGTCACTGTTTATGTGCATTGACTGCAACAAACTCTTTGACCTTCCCGACGTGAATAAGCTTCTCAATCAAGTTCCGAAGGTGACGACATTCCTCCATGTCGTGGACATGGTTGTGATGGTGCTGACAGTACCTCTTCAGATCTTGTAAGGTTGGGGCCTCCTTCAGGGGCTGAGCCAATTTGAAATAGTATTTGTTCTGTACGTCATGGACTATTTCGGTCATTGACACGTCAAGGGGTGTCAAACCTTGCATTCCTGGTAGACATGCGGCTGCTGATAATACTGGGTTGGTCAGTGGTCAGACCGTCATTTTCTGTCATGATTCCCCAAGTCATTTCTTCGTTGATTTCGTGACCGAGAGTTATTGTTTTGGTAACCGATAGAGGACTGATTGTCCATTGCCTTGTGCAATCCCCCCGCCCTCCCTCCCTCCCGCTCTTTCCGCTTCTTCGAGGGGTGGTTGGATGATTTCAACTTACCCTTCAAAGAGCGCTGGAGATCTTCTTCGACGAGTATGTGCTCATTCTCCATCTCCATTATTTTTGCAAAAGTAGCGAGTTTAAATAGGTTTATGTCATACTTGAACTGCTTGCTTCGGACTCTTCATTTCAAGGTTTTTCCAATTATATCAAGCTTCAGATCTCTAATCTCGAGCATCTCATTTTGGAAGCGAGTGATATAGGCTCGCAGACACTTTTTTCTCCTTGCTTGAGATCAAGCAGTGTCTCCGAGTCTTTCCTCTTCTTCTGCACGTTTTAGAAGTGTGAAACGAAGAGTTTCTTAAACTCGTAGTAACTTGGGATGGTTTCGATAGCAGACCATTGAAGCACCGAAGAGCTGATTCCTTCAGGGTGTTTAAGAAGAGATGATACATTATAAGGTCATCAATCTGGAACAGACTAATAAATGTTCGAACGATGCGACGTGATCGATCAGGTCGATCCTAGGCGAGGAGTTTTTAGCTTAGATGAAGGTATTTCCTCTTTGACTTGGTGAGTAAATGCGCCTCCTGCGAGCGGTCAGACAGGCACTCACATCCGCTCT